CTACAGTCCCATGGATCTTAAATTTCTGAATAATATGTGCAACTGTAGTCACAGGAACATTAAGCTGCTTGGAGATGGTCTTATAGCCTTTACCTTTGACATGCTTGTCTATAATTGTCTTTCTAATCTCCTGAGACAAGTCACTCCTTCACTTCCTCTGGCCCATGTTTAGTGTGGTACACACCATGTCATCAAACAGCACAGTGACTACTTGCAACCCTATAAATAGGCCGACTGACTGATTACAAGTTTGTAGACACCTGTGATGCCAATTAGAGGACACACCTTGATTGAACATGTCCCCATGGTCACATTATTTTGAATGTTCAAATAAAAATATTTGAAATATATAAATCAGTCGTAGGAGCCATTTTTCTGCATAACAAGGACTTTGACTTTTGACACTTCAGGTACGTTAAATGTTCTTTTGCTGGAGCTGGATTTTGAATTCAGTTACTTATAAATTAATATTTAGCATTATTTACAAAAAAATCTGTAGCACCTATAAGCTTATAATGTAATTTAGTTGTAGCTTGTAAGTAGAGCTGCAATGATTAATTGATTAGTTATCAACTACTAAATTAATCGTTGACTATTGATTAATCAATCTGAGTTGTTTTCAAGATTCTCTGATTCAAGCTTTTTTCCTCTGTGAAATTAAACTGAATATCTTTAGATCGTGAACAAAACAAGATATCTAAGGACGTCCTCTTCAGCTTTGGGAAACACTGATCAACATTTTTAATTAGTTTTCTAAAATTTAATGGACCACACAACCAATCGATTAATCAAAGCAATAGCCAACAGATTAATCGACAATAAAAACAACTGTCAGTTGCAGACCTACTTATAAAAGTTGTCAACACATCTGAGAAGCTGCATTTCTTTGATACAGACTCTGGTTTTGGTTAATGATCAACATGTAAACAAACTGTAGACGCTGGCGTCCACATATCAGACTGCGCAAGAGAAAGAGGTCAAATGTTAACGCTAAAAAAACATGTTTTTTTTCTATGTGCACATATTTAAAAGAGTGTTTGTTTGTTTTTAATCACTGGAACAGTCACCTACCTTGTGCTTCATCCACCTCTATTGTTTCTATCTTGTCCATCAGGTCATTAGAGCTCCACTTGGTGATCTCTTTGGAAAACATTTCCTCATTATCAGAGAAGTCCTCTGCAAGACACACAAAAGAGGTTTGATAGAGTCTGATGCATTCTAATCACCCTCGTGACACAGATATGAAAAAAATACCTCCTTTTTATGGACTGTCTGAAAAGGCAGTTTTTGGCTCCCTTTGAAACCTCAAACCTCCTCCAGGTCTCTGAACATGTACCCCACAGTCCACCATATATTCCACAGTGTTGCTTGCTATTAGGTCAGACTGAAAACAGTGCTGTGTTTAAACATCACACTGAACTGCACTGGTGGAGGAGTCATGCTTCAGGTACTGATGAGGCCTGGGCCCACATTTATCAAACTGCAACTGTGACATTTCAAACTCAAGTGAATGATAAAAGTAGAAACCAAAACTCTTCCTCACAAAATTAAGACTAACAAAATTAGGAAAATTCACACCTATGAGTTTAGCACCCACTTATATTCCTTCATTGTTGTCTTTTAATGTTCCTTATCAAATACACTCTAATGACTGGAACACTCTGCAGGTGTTGGCAGTTCTTACTGGACTTAAAAATGCAGTTGTGCTTATTGTGTAGCTATAACCTGAAATAACATGCAGAACAATCTAAAGCTTGATTCACTTCATGTAATTCATTATTTGTTTTTAATAAGATGCGTTTTTAATGTTTTTATTTCCAAGTTTTTGTCAAATGAGCATGACCTGCTGAGCAAGCACCAACTAGCCTCGGCTGAAATGAAAGCTATCTTTGCTCAGCTATATTGTAAAGTAAGGCTTCCAACTTAATGTAGCTCTGAGTTAAAACAAAGTTTTTGATAATGGGTAATGAATAGGGCGTTACACCAGCTTTCCTTTCTGGTGTTTATCAGAGTGCAAACAGACAACAATAATAACTCTGGCTTTCATGTAGTTCGGGGTCACTGTCCAGGCTAAAATCTCCTCATTATAATTTCCTCTACTTTCATACCGTCGACCAGCAGCACAATATTTTGCAGCAGAATCTTCTCTCCATTTCAGCCAATTTTGATATTCCTATTCATATATTTAGTCCTTTTAAATGCAGTGATGTTTTTGTTTCACCTGCCAGTAATTTTAAGACAGTTAGGACTTTACACAAACAAAATTCTTGCAGAAAATCTACTATTGAATGCTGATTTTTTTTCAAGTACAATATTGCAGATGAAAAGTCCATTTATTCCTTCACCGAAAATACATGCGTTCAGTCAGACGAGCACATTTTGCTGTAAGTCTCTTGTTATTCACACTATAAAGTTGGTACTTTGGAATTCTCATGTGTCAATCTTCTAAGTTTGACAAATACGAGCTCTGAAAAAAAAACTAGGAAGTCCAGTTTGAGTAACAGATTTGCATTTTAAAGACTTCTCAGATGTCAAAATGCTGCGCTCTGACAGACAGGATTTTATAACAAGCTTGTTTGATTGGCAGTAGTTTGCCGGATGATGTTGTATTGCAGTCCTGCAAAAGCTCAAGCAGGTTCATCTTTCTGGCAGCTATTTTGAAGAACAACAACATTTTGAATTCTAAAATAACAAACAACAAAACTACCATACAAAGGCAGACAGCAGCAACTGAAGAAAAGTTTAGGGGTTATATAAGCTATAAAACAATTATTTAATGACTTGTAAAGATGATTATTTCCTTGGAAGAAATATTCAGCCTAAAACTGGACACTTTGGATAAGGATAGTTATAGCAACGATAGTTAACTTTTAGAAGGACTCCAGATTTTTCTCTATTATGCTTAGAATTAATTATGGCCTTGTTTAAGTAGTACAACAAATTAAGATTCTGGAGCATCAAAGTCAATTGTTCAGGCTGGCAACAGACAGGAACTAGCTTTAAATAAGGTTAGACTGTGACTGACCTAAGACTATCCTTAACTAGCGTCTCCTGCAGACTATTATACATAATTTTCTTGTAAATGACCCATTGCTGAAAAACGAATACTAAAGGTAATACAGTGACAGCTTTAACTCACTTTTAACCTAACTTTGACAGTGTTTGGCTTTGTAGGCCAGAGCTGCTCCGATAACTTTGATGGCCTGGAAACATTCTCTTTTTAATATCTTAGAGTTTAATGTACAAAGAAGTATAATTTAACAACAGGTATAAATTAAAAGAACAAAACATGATTAAGGAGGAAACCTCGAAGTGCTCCACGGCTGGCATTTATCATCCCATGACAATTACAAGATATACAGTATGATAAATTAATCATTCAAGATGTTTGCATGCTGTAAAACCTGAACAAAGCAGGAGACGGTGCTGAAACATCATGTAAAGCTCTCTAACATAACACAGTGCATATTAAAAGCAGAATATAGTGGTTGTTGTGTATAATTTGCTGTAAGATGATGATTTTACCATGAGCATCAAAGAACTCGTCGTCTGTGCTGTCCTCAGAGTCCCGGGCGATGCTTTGCATCCTCCACTCTGAAATACTCTGGTGGGATGGACTACCTACAACAACACAACAGGAGGTCAGCAGGTATCTCTTATTATTACTGTGTGTATAAAGAAAACAAAACTAGTATCTGATATTGTTGAATAATAATTAATTTGGGGGTTGCAATTTTTGTCATTTTGCTACTTTTAAAATGTCCCATCTGGTGAAATTAATATTTTTTGTATTTCTTGTGTCCTAAAAACTTGGCAGTGTAAAATAAAAGCTGTAAATATGAGGACACTGATATGAATGATAATCAGGCTGTCGTTCATTTATTGGGTGCTGCAAAGATGGCAAATTGCTTAGTTTAGGTCCTTCAGCTTGCTAGTTTAGTTCAGTTAAAAGGAAAAATAATCTAAAATAGGTGGTTTAATGTTCTTGTTTTGCAACAAGCTCTTTAGTAACTGCATTCAAGAATATATGGGCAAATGACAGTGGTTGGATTGACAAGAGCTTTTTGTAAAATTTTAACATGTCACCCAACCTTAGTATCTGACCTGCACCTTACAAGTATGGTATAAATAATATGTACGAACACATATAGGTATATGTAGATACTGAGCTGCTCATGTCAACCCTTGCAGTTTGCTTCAATCTCAGTATCAAGTAAAAGAACCTTGCTCACCTCCTCTCTTTGACGACCTGTTGGAGGATCTGGAGGATGTCGACCACTGCTTGGTGAGCTCCCCTCGTGTCTCCAGTGAATCTCCGAGCTTCCCTCCAGCTCCCTCTGCCTCTGCCGTCGACCCCTCTGCCTCTGCTCCCTGCTCCTGGTCCTGGCTGACTGAGGAGCCATTGGTCTCCGTTCCCCCCTCCTCATTAAGGCTGTACTGGGCCATCTTCTTGGCTAAAGCCAGCTGAGTCTCCAGCTCCAGCTGCCTGATGTCCTCAATGGTGAGGCCATACCACTCGTCCTGCCAGCACCACGCCTGCCGGTGAGCTCGAACCATCACTTTACGCAGGCCTGCAAAGACATAACCAAGGACTTATTGGCATGTAAGTTCATTTTAGCTAAAACAAATCATATTTCTGTGACATAAATCTGAAAAAATGGATAAACTTCAAAGATATCTGATATTGGTTTCACAGATTAGATGATAAATATCATCTAAAGTAAATGATATAAGTTTGGTTTATTAAATAACAAATTATAATGAAAATGATTTATATATTTTTACTGCACTGATGCTGGTTTTGTTTATGACAGAATACTGAGACAATATAATGTTATGTTGTATTTAAATCTATACCTTTATACAGCAAGAGTAAAAAGTAAACTTATGTAGGCAAAAATGCAGAAACTTCGAAACTTGTTTAAGTCATTAACATCATTTTTTGGCCTCAGGAACACTGAGGTTTCTAATGACAGCTCTTAACTGTATTACAGTTATCACAGCATTTTCAGGTGGGTTGCTGACTTTTGTTGGTAATTATTTGCTTTTAACTTTGTTCCTATTAGTCGTATTCTTGTCTTGATTTGTGCACAGGTTTTTTTGGTGACTTTCTTATAACACGTACAGCACTTTGGTCAACTTTGATGGTTTGAAAATGTGCTACATGAATAAAATTGCTCTGATTTCAAACTTTTTAAAATATATATATATTTTTAGCAATTTTTCATGGAGTATCACTGAATTGTCGGTTTATTTCCAACTTTATAGGATTGCATTTGTTGGTTGTTCAAGACATTACATTTTTATTCTCATTTTTTTACACCAAGGAACTCTTTGCACATCAGTTTCATCAGGCAGGTGCGAATAAGAGGAATGAGTGGATCTAAAAGTTTTGATCAGACTACCATACACTCTCTGAAACAGAAATGTCTCTCAAATGTATTATTTCAACGTTTCGCTGCCTTCATCAGGCCTAAAGTGTGGTACAAAGAGAAGTCATCCTGAATAGGGAGTTGCTGTGATGTTGCCACCAATAAACACACTCCACATACCATGAAGAAGTATGAAACACCAAAACATTTCATCAAGAAAATGTTTTCATTAACATGCAGAAAAATAAAAATGCTAAATATAACATTATTTAAATAGCATGAGTAAAACTCTAGAGTAAGAGTGTTTTAAGCCTGCCATAATATCAAAACGTAGACTACAGGTTGTACATGTACATGAACCTGCAAATGTGGAAATACCCAAAATAAACCACTCAAATCTAGAAAACAACATTAAACACAGCAAAAAGGAAGGTTACAGTCAGTTAATTACATCCAATGATTCCTAACTTTTCAACATCATTTATTCTTTACTTCCTTATTTCAGAATATTCCAGATTTTCATTGATTATCCCTAATTTTTTAGGTTATATTAAAATGTTGGCGATTAGCCTTGATCTTTACAATTATTAGCAGCTTTCTGTTGTTGTATTTAAGTTTGCTCGGTTAACAAGTCCTGACTTTATAAGATTATTTTCAGTTTTTCCAGGGTTAACAGTAACTTTTCAGTCACACTATCCTTTGTTCAAGTTGCATATTTTCATTAGAACAATACAATTATATTTTTATCCAAAAAATCTTAATACATATTTTATGCTGCGGAGGGCAAGTTGTTATTTGCTACTCTTGACATTTTTAGGGTTATCAAGGCATTTTTGAACTTTTGAATTTTTTATTTCTATCTTTTCAACATTATTTATTCCTTTTTTTTTTCTCAAGATTCCCAATTCTTGTATTTCAAACTTTGATTTTTCTTTTTTTTTTTCTTACTCATGATTTTTATAATTATTACCACCCACTCCTGGAAGCAATATTTGGCTCTTTAGCTGCTAAATGCTTCACTATTTTACTGCTCTGTCTCTGCTGAGCAAGTAGTGTACAGACAGTTATCACATCACTGAAAATAAACCAGAACAGTGAAGTTTTCGGTCAGGCAGCTAAACAACATGCTAAAACTCACTATAAAGGGATTTCTTGCCACTTATGTGATTGTGTCTGCTTTAAAAGAAAGTTATACAAATACTGTATCGCTGAAAATATCTTCCAAAGAGAAACTAAAAATGACTGCCCTGTAAAGCCACATGATCTGTCAAAAGAGATTCAATTTTAATCAGTGTCCTCCTCTTGGTGACCTAAGCAAGCACCAGCTGGATATAAAACCATAAAAGCAAGATTAATTATTGATTGTCATGATTCAAACATACTAGCTGGCAATAAAAGCTTACATAAGTAAACAGAGAAAGCTATTATATTGTATATAAAGTGAAAACAGCCACTACTGCAATATGAATGAAACAACCCAAAGACCCACTGAACATTATTTAGAATACAAACAGCGTGTTAGAGCTGCTGTGTGATAATATTCATGAATCAGAGGTGATGCAGATAAAGATCCAGTGAATATTTTCGAGTAAACAGCCGTAGATGACATTAGCATAAACACAGTTCAGTGAGAGGCTGAGGTGGTGGTGAATGCAACGGGAGGTCAGGAAGGAAAAACACATTTTGTGGTTGGAGATGTGTTGATTAGACGACAGAGTGAGAATGCCATGAAGACAGAGCAGCTGCTGCTTCATTAGCCTGGAAGTAAATGCTGTGAGGGAGCGAGCTGAGGGTTGTGGGAGTGTATAAACAGTGTTAGATCGCAGCAATGAAACAGAAACAGCCCAACACTGGCAGGAAATTAATCCAGTCTGCTGTGTTATCTCAGGGAGCCAGACGCCTCCTCCTGCTCTGAGCGGTCAGACACTTTCTCAGGTAGCTTTTCCATTTTATCTGTTTACCTCTACTTAGTTTTCCTCTGATTCATCTGAAACCTTGTTCATTTCGTTTTCAGCATCTGCCCCTGAGAGAGGATTCATTTAATCAGTGGTTAATCATTATAGAGATGTTTTCTTATAGACCTGCTTCCACAAACATGTTTAATTATGAAAGTCCGAAATATTCCTGACTTTTCTGGATTAATCTCAAAGCTTTCAGGGTCTTAACCTAATGTTCAGGGTTTACAAGGTTTCAACGTTGTTCCTGCCAGACTTTTTAGGCTTTTAGTTTTTGTCTGGATTTTAATGTGTGTGATTACTGCAGATTTTTAAGGGTTATTATCAGTGTTTCATGCTTATTACCAAATAGCATTCTTTTAGTTGATTTTTGCCAGATTTTTTAAAAAATGTTTCCCAAATTTTCTAGATTAATCACATCAATAACAATAGTAACTTTACCTATATATCACCTTTAAAAGAGCTTACAAAGTGCTTTGACAGACAAGACCCAAAAAAGATCAAACTCTGTAAGACAATATTACAACAGACATTGAAGCAAAAAGCAGAGAAATAGAGTTAAAACATATTAAGAGACAAAAAATGCAAAATACTGAACTTCATTATAAATAAATTAATAGAACAAACACTAATTGATACAAATAAAATACTTAAAAAAATATATAGCACATTAAAGGAAAGAAAAAACACAAAGACACAAGGGAAAAGAAAAGAGATTAAACAAGATTAAAATGAAAGGAGTGAAAGATTATTATTGATAGGGTTCAAGGTAACTCTTCAAGATACCTTTACCTATATTCATTCACGATTATTAACAACTTGTTATTATTATTCTTCGTGTTTACTGTTCTATTTGGACTTTTTGTGGGTAATTTATTTTTTATGATCACCCTCTTTGTACTTGTACTTTTCAGGGTGCGCATTGACCTTCTGGGTTTTTTTTCTAACTTTTCATGAATATGTTTCATGTTTTAAGGTTAACTGTAAAGCCTGATTTATGTGTAAAGATAAGACACACTCTACTTCCCATACCTACCCACATCGTGTATGAAGCGTTCGATCTTGGACTGCATGCCCCAGTATCTGAACTCCACTTTGCAGAGCTTGTATGCACACATGACGGCACTCTGACTGGAACTCTGGTTGATCTCCTCGATCCAGTCCTCCGACAGCGGGCCCCGTTTGGTCTTGACTGACTGGTACAGCTTTGGGTCTTCTTCCACAAGGTATTCATGAGGAGGGATGTAGTCCTTCACGATGTCTATGGGGTCTGCAAGGGGAACAAAAACACACTGAAGCAGGTTCGAGCAGGACAGATGTCGTGATGTCCTCACTGAACACCTGCCTTAAGAAAAGTGTGCAGTTCAATGTGTGTGTGTCTTTTATGTAATCAGTCCCTGCAGGGAATGAGTCTGGAGCAGACTGCACATTTTTCCTGCACCCCAGTGAATTTTAGTATGCAGAGGCTCAACACAAGCTCCTACACTCCACAGTCTGTATCCCTCTGCCTCACGCTGTCTGCCTTTTCACTGCAAATAACACTGTGTAAATTCAGTTCCACATCCTGCTTATGAGGAGATGACGACCGGCCAGTGGATCCCAGTGGTACAATTTAAGAGAAATGGTGCAAAAAGTGAGTGTTTTTTTAAAGTTATTTTTTGGCCTTTGTGCCTTTATTTGACAGTGCAGTGAGAAAGAGACAGGAAAGTAGGGGAAAAAAAAGGGGGAAAAGGCCAAGAACCGGGATCAAAACCATGAACTCCACATCGGGACTGTAGCCCTGTACATGGGACGCTCAACCCAGTGAGCTATAGCAGTGCCCCAAAGTGAGTGTTTTTTTGATGATAAACTTACCTACAGTCCTCTGTCTTTTCTCAGCAGAAGAAAGATTGAAGACATCCACTTGATTTCCAGTATCTGGTTTATAGTATGTCTCGATATCTATAGAGAATTTCTCTACAAAGGGGCACGTATACCTGAGAAACAAAAAGGGACAGAAGGCTGCTTAAAATGGGAAACACTTTAAGTCATACACCTCATTTTATCTCATAATTGATTTAAATTATTTATGAGTCACTTACAAATCATTAAAAAAAAACTTTTTGATGAAACGACTAATACCAAGAATTATCATTAAGTTACAAAATGAAAACTTGACATTTCTAAAGTTCAGTTGTGTTTTATTTGAACACCTTCAATACAGGATATGAAACTGTTTAATAATAAACAAGAGTGGTAATTGAGGGTAATCATTTTGGTAACTGATGGAGCAGAAATACAGCTACAGATTCCAGCCTCTTAAATGAAATCATTTGCTCCTTGTCTTTGTTTTATGTGACAGATGACAAAATATTTGAGTCTTGAAACATGAGTGGGACAAAACAAACAGTGAAAACTTATGTACTGCCAACAAGACTTCACACTGAAAACGTGACTTGAAATTACATTTTTTAGAACAAGAAAGTTTTAACAGAGAAGTGTCTTTCTGCAGTACTTAAGGAGCTAATTTATGAGAATGGATATCAACTGCCAGGAAAAGTACATACAACCTTGCTGGTTTGAGAAAGTAGTTGGACCTGTGGGTTTGTGGATATTAAGTCATCAGGACGATATTACAAGTTGGCAGCAACAGTATTATTCTGTGATCACTGAGCTGAAACTGTTCCAAATAATTAAAAAAAAGTCTCCGTCAGCAATATCAGGTGAACGTTACTTCATTCTTCACATTTAGAAATTCATCCACTAAAATCTATCGACAAGGTTTTATTACTAAGTGTGCCTTTCCATAATGCGCCTGTCTAAAATCACTAGACACAATGTCTGCTTAAGTGTTAACACCGGGTAAAAGATTTACATAGGCCACGGGGGGAGTTTAGTATCTATTTGCATCATTTTTAATATCTGGTGTGAGTCGGCCTCACCGGGTTCGTGTATAGGGGTAAGCGTTCCAGGACTCCTCCTCCACTCGCAGGGCAGCTTGAGGCAGGATGGCACAGAACCAGGACGGGATGTGTTTGCCGATGTGATAGACCTTGTGGGTGTACTGACCCGAGCCTCCGGGACCGTCCTCATAGGGTTTGTTCTCCAAGATCTCCACCCCGCTCCCCTCGCCGCAACTCTCCTCTCTGCTCTTTTTCTGCAAGCCAAAGAAAGACGACAGAACAGAGGAGGGGTCAGATTTTCATATTCATCAAAAACTAAGAAAAAAGAACTGAGATAGCTCTATGTTGCATTTTGAAACAGATGGAAGAAGCGTAAAGATATTTTTTTTTAAAAACACACTACACTCACAGGTGCTGTACCTATGGCAAGCTGTTCTACCATTTAAAAGCTGAATTGTCTATCCAGATTTAAAATGAAAGATATCAACAATGTCATCTCGACTAGTTCTAATTACATTGTCACTAAATCAAGACAGAATTCAGAAAGGATGACATAAACCAAAAACAGACAGTCTCTAGCCACAACCGTTGTCTTACAGTGATCCAAAATATGAATTATAAAACTGTTTCTATGTCACATTTCCTTGTTTCCACATTTCTTGTCCACAAGTTGTACTAAAGAGAGTCATGGTGCATAAAAAGGAGGTTGAAAAATTCTCCAGCAAAATAAAAAATCTAAAACACACCTATAAACTTCTAGTTTCACATATTTGTAGCTTATCGGTTGCGTACAATTCAGAGAGGTGCAGTTTTATAGAACAGACTTTAGCTTTGATTAATGCACATTTATTTTTATAAGTAAAGAAACTGTGGACGTCGGTGTTCACACACCAGGAGATGAGCGTAGGGAGTTGAAAACAGCCAACGTGAACACTCAGCTTTACACAGACTCCTGACACACAACTTCCCATCCTCCTTTCTTTCCTTAAACTTCCAATTAAACCCCTGCTACTCTTACACAGCACTCCTGTCTCTCTGACTGCTGCTGTCTGACCTTCACTGAGCTCGATGGATGATGCAGCAGAGCCAAAGTGATGAGGTGGAAAGAAAAAAGCTTTCACATGGACACAGAAACTGCTTTTCTCAACTCTTATTTATCCTCTACACGTGTTTTTTCTCTTCTTCAGACCAGCCTAATTCCTCTACATTTCACTCTCCATTCAAGAAGCTTCAATAAAATCCTTTGTTGCTTACTCAGTACATCCATCCATCCATTATCTAAACACTGCTTAATCCTCAGTAGGGTCGCGGGGGGCTGGAGCCTATACCAGCTGACTCAGGGCGAAGGCAGGGGACACCCTGGACAGGTCGCCAGTCTATCACAGGGCCACACTTTAGAGACAGACAACCAAGCACACTCACATTCACACCTGCGGACAATTTAGAATCACCAATTAACCTCAACATGTTTTTGGACTGTGTGGGAGGAAGCTGGAGAACCTGAAGAGAACCCACGCTGCACGGGGAGAACATGCAAACTCCACGCAGAAAGATCCCGGGTGTCCTCACTGGCAAGATGTATCTAAACATTTCAGATTTCATTTTGCTATTGTCATCAGCAATTACACCATGTTGGAAATAAATTGTTGCAGCCATACCTCCCCCACCACTAGAGCTGCAGTGAATAATCAATTAATCACATAGCTGTCAAACATTACATTAATCGCCAACTATTTTGATAACCAAATAATCAGTTGGACTAATTAATCAAAAAAAGGTCTACATTTTCTGATTTCAGCTTCTTATTAGAATATTTCTGTGGCATTTTTTTGCTCCTCTGACAACAACTGTAGTGTTTTGAACAATTTACTGTTATATTACAGAATTCCTGTGTTTTGGTATTATAAATAATAATGAGTAAAATCATGAACTAAATATTAACCTGCGCATTACAAATCAGTAATTTCACAAATTGTAAGCACCTCGTTGACATCTGACTATAGTAAAGTTTTTGTTTTTTTTTAAATGTATTTAAATCAGCAAAATATTATGTATAAATATTTACTGGAAAGAAGGAAAAACTGTGTTAAGTAAGGACTGATAAATAGTAAATCATTTATACAGTTACAGATTTTCACTTTTGTTAAAATACTGAAAATAAATAGTAAAATCAGTTATAAGGGATTAATTAACATGTCAACAAAAGCCAAAACTTTCATACCTACATCAAAAATCGGTATTTTTACAAATATTAATTTGTTCCTTTGCAATATGTGACCATAAAATTACACTGTTTTAATGTATTTAAATCCAAAAAAATACATTGTTCTACAGATGCAGTTGTTTTCACAGTTTAACAGTTTAAATATTGCAGCATTTTTTATTTATTTATTTTTTTTACTATATGTTTCCTGCCGCACCAGCTGCTGGATTTCAACTCTTTTTTCTTTTTTATTTATTCATTTTTTACTGATTTTCTACAGTGTTTGACAGTAAAATACACATTTGTTGAATTCTGCACAAAATGGGACATTTGTAAACCAGGGCTTTAAGCAACACTGCTGAACATTTGGGATTGATTTTTTAAAAATAAATAAATAAACATTTCTCATTGATTTTTTTTTTTTAGAGGTTTCACACAAAAAAAAATCTACTGATTAAAATCAATCCAAAGTAAAAAATTATAGTTTGCTGCCTGCCTAAACAAAATAAGTATAAATGACTAACTACAACAGTAAAATTCAGATTTTATATTATTGCATAATAAGTTATATGTGCATAAAATGGGCCATTTTTCTGTAGAGTACTTTTAGTTGCTGTATTTAATGATTATATTCATATCCTTAAGATGCGAAATTTTGTGTGCAGAACTTGTACTTGTAACACAGTATTCCCAAAGTGTTGTGTTAGTACTTTTAATTACGTAACTGATGTTAGAGCTTACTGTTATTTTCTTTCCATGGCCTGAAATAATCCAAACTCTGTCAGGGATTTAACTTTTTCTGAGCTGAATTGCTGCAGACATAGAGAAGGTAAAAATGTGTGGTTTTGACCCAGTATGTGACTTCCAGTAATACATGGCAGCAGATGGTTTGATCCCACACATCCTGTAAGACTGAGTGGTGTATTAAGCCTGCAGCTCCTGAGAGGGAGTCTTGGATTACAGCATCAGTTTATAAACACACTACATCTCCTTAAGAGGCTCTCTATTTACACTGTAACTGTGTGGGTTGTAGCACTCAGCAGCCGAAATACTAGCAGTGTTTATATTGAACCACTCCAGGATCTGATACAGGAGCCTTATTATCCACTTTCAAGTTTCAGGAAAGACCATCAGCCAGGGCTGAAAGGATTTGTCAACAAACCAATTAGTCTATTAACACGCAGTTTGATAAGTGATTCATTTATTAAGGGGAAATGATAAATGTTTTCTGATGTCAGCTTTTAAAATGTGACAAATGCTGCTTTTTTATATTTCAAAATCAGTGTAAATGAATAATTGCAGGACTTGGATTGTTGTTCATTGGTAGAAGAAGCACTTAAATAAAAAATAATTACTGAAGTACACGTAAAATAACTCATATAACATACAATGGACAAAAATAGTCCTGTATTCAGAAACCTACTTTAGTAGAAGAAGAAAAAATGACCTAAAAATTACCTAAAAAAATGACCTGCTAGCAAAATTAGTGCTGGATTTCTGTCTAGATTCAGATTTTTTGCAAAAGGAAACAAGTGAAGGAGGAAAGTAGGAAAGTTGTGAGAATATTTATCCATGGACTGATTACTTAACAAGACTACCAGGCACAGGCTCAAAGGCCCAAGACCTCAGGGAGCCTCTGATGCTGTCCCAAAATTATTATATATATCCCAGAAAGAGACATAAAACAACCAAACCAAGATGTACAATAAAGAAGAGGTAAATGAGCCCGAAGACACAATAACAACAAAGAGTTGCAAAACGACCTAAATGAGACACAAAAAGAGACAATAGAAAAAATCCACAAAGGGATGCAAAACAAGCAAAACTGGATGCAATCAACCACTATGACACACAACATGACCAAAATAGGCCAAAAAACAACTACGAAGAGATGCCAAACAACCACAATGAGACAATAAAATGACCGAAATGGGACATGATGCAAAATGACAGAAATTAAATGAACCACAAAGAAACACAAAATGAACAATATGAGATCAAAATGGGGCAAAAAAAAAAAAAAACAACCACAAGAATCAAGAGGCCATTGTTTCATAATCCACCCATGTCAATGACAAAAAAACTTAATGTAGAAAGTTAACTAGTCATTGACTGTCAAATGGATGTGCAGTAAAAATACACTGAAAACATTTCCCCCTGTAATGTACTGGAGTAAAGTGTAAAATATAATAAATTGGAGATACAAGCAAAGTACAAGCACCTCCAAACTGTGTGAAAGCACAATCCATAAACCCTTTGTGACCTTCCATCACTGCTGTTAATTAGGGCTGACCCGAATAGCCGAATAGCCAACCTAACCACCGATACTGGTTCTAGTAGCTAAATGCTGCCTGTCGGAGCGTGCGTGCACCCACCAACCCATTACCATGAAGACAAGCGTGGAATTTCTTTGAAAGAAATTTTGGCTCCACATGCTATAGATCTACTAAATTTACAACCTCTAAAAACTACCTTTACCACATGAATCTGCGCAATAACTCTAGAGGGACACTTCACCATGCTGAATGAATCTTCCAAACTTGCTGACAACTCTTTCCCTCCCATGTTTGAAACATGTTGGATTCATTTTATTAATCCATTATGTTTGATTTTGCTCTTAGTCTCTCTTGTCATCTCCTCAGTTGGTCACAGCTGAGTCAATCATGGTTACTCAGTTGCCCTGAGAACTGCAAAAATTTTATTCATTTATTTAATTTGAAATTCTTAAATGAGAAATGTAGAACAATCACATTTGTTGAAACATCACAACTTTGAGCTTATTTCTGGCTATCTCTCCTCCAAACCATATGTCACACATGATATATTCACAGACCAGTTTAAAGTCTGACAATTCTTTTTGTTTTTACAGTTTATTGCTATAAAAATTGTGTAATTTAGAAAATTTTAACTAGATAACATGCTTTTCAAATCCGTCAGCAGGTTCAGTGGATCAAACATTTGTTCTTCAGTCAGACTGAAGGTAAATGTAGAAATTAGTTGCCTGGAATAGACATTTTGCTAACTGTATTAGAGATCTCCATCTGGGCATCA